ACCTCGGTTGACTTTTGCATCTGGAATTGTTAGTGGAACGTTTGATGATTTTCTGTTTCCTTGTATCATGGTAAATCGTCTGTTATTTTGTCCTAGAAACCTTCACAAGTAATGTTATCCTCAGTGCGGTGTTCACATCTGCTCTTTGTATCCATTTTGTTTTTAGGCCAATCCATTGAGTTTTGCATTTCACCAAGCTTTTCATTTCCAGAATTTCTACTCATTCTTCTTTTATAACAAAACTTTGTTTTTATATCATGTTATAATATGTGAGCCCTCTAATAATGATCATCAGCCTTCTAAAATTACCTTATGTTTGCTCCATCAATACTTTTCCTCAAGTATTTGTTGAGCTGCATTAACGTACATTGTGTATATACCATTATATGTATACTTAATTTAACCTATTTGTTTATTTCCATTAAATATTTCTAAAACTGCATGTGTTATCTCCTCTGTCATTTATAGGTGGTTGAGATTGAAAGAAGGAAGCATGTACTCAATGTAGTATCTTGGTCATCGCTCTCCAGAGCACAAACATTGTTTAAAAAGATGCCAAAATGTTATGAGAATCTATCCACAGTTCTGTTCACAACTGTTCCAATTCTTTAGTGCTACAATGTAGTTTGGTGTGTTTGGAACCGAGATAAGTGATGTAAAGGTTATTATGAGCCTATTCTACATTTTTGTTAGGTGCCATTCAGGCAGCTCCAACCCATAGTGACCCTTACACAACAGACCAAAATATTGCCAGATCCTCACAGTAGCCACTATGCCAGTCAGTGTTGCTAAGAATCTTCCTCTTTTTTTGACCCTCTACTTTACCAAGCATAATAATCCTTGGCATTGTTCTGACTGATGATGTTGATCCTTCTCCATCATCTTTTTCAGTAGATGGAGTCAAGGTGATTCCTGTGCATCCACTAAGTGGGTAACAGTGATGAAACATTCTCTGGGTTTCTTCTGCTGAACCGTTCACTGGTAGCTTTAGCTCATGTTGGAACCAGATCTTTCATGCATATATATATGCCATAAATATGTACTGCTGCCCTGTCTGTGTAGGGCTACATGGATAAAACCTGACTACTGGTCTCTACCCTTTGGGATCTAGGACAGAAGGCAAACCACGTAATGTTAGTTCCTGAGAGAACAGAAGAAACTACTAGCGCATAGTGATGACGTCTTGGGGGAGACCTCGAATGGTTATTAAGTTGAAACATTCTTCTGTGCCTGTTTTTAAATTGTTTCGTTTCTGAGCTTTTCTGTCTATGGAGACTACTTGAGTACTATTCACTTTACTATCCATCTTGAAACTTAGAATTCTGTTAGAGAAAGATATAAGAAAAGAAAAGGTGGGAGGAGAGTGGTTACCCAGGTCAAGTTTGAGAAATAGGTAGCATTGAATGCACTGAATCCAAAGGTAAGCTATCTTACTGAGGTTTTTTTTTTGTCTTTCTAAAATGCTTTTTAAACTTGGCTTTCTTGCAGTGTTCATAGTTGGGACCATGTTACTCAGGGACTGGTCGAATTTGGTTTTATTTTAATGGATTCATACGGACCAAAGAAGATCCTTGAAGGAAAAGCTATTGAAACCTGCTCAGGTCTTTTTAGAGCACCAGTCCATCAAGCATGTAAGCTGGGAGCTAATATCTTATTGGAAACCTTTAAGGTAGGACTCTAGTTCAGCAATTCTTGTCTGCTTTTGTGAAATCATACCTGTAAATTCATTACATTTATCATTTATCTGAGTTTCCAGACAAGGACATCTGACGAACCATGTAGCAGTTACTGGGGCAGGGGTAGGAATGATACTGAAACACATACTCTAATTTGGTGCAGTACTCTCCTGACCTATCTTTATGCATTTTAATTTATTTCACTAACTCTTCATCATTTTTGGTCACTTCTTAAAAGTTTGAAGAGAAGATGGCTTTTGTGTGGTTTTATCTTCTACCAGCAATTAATTATTTTCAGATTTTTAAAAAAAATGCTACTCCTATCTTTTACACCACTGGAGAACAGCGTAACTTGAAGAGTTCTTAACTGGATTACATGGATAAGTGACTCTTTCTGTCAGTAGTTTTATAAAAATTCCTAGGATAAGAGACAGTTGTTTTTCTTTTTTAATTCAAAATCTTAGGTCCCAATTTCATGTAGGCTTTGTAAGGCACCCTTGTTGTTGTCAGATACCATCAACTGGCTCCGATTAATAGCAGCCACGTGCACAGTAGAACAAAACACTACCCATTTATTTTCCATCCTCACAAATGCTGTTTGAGCCCTTAGCTACCGTCACTGTGTCAATTCATTCTGTTGACGATCTTCCTCCACCAAGCATGATGTTGTTTTTCAGGGACTGGTCTCTCCTGATGATGTTGTTTTTCAGGGACTGGTCTCTC